TGTTTGCTGTGGGAGTATAGTTCGTTTCGTTTTTAAGACATGTAAAATTTTAAAAAGAACACTTTTTAACATTGTTGGATGTTGGTTGCAAATGTTTTGTCCAATACTGTATATATATATATATATATATATATATATATATATATATATATATATATATATATATATATATATATATATATATATATATATATATATATATATATATATATATATATATATATATATATATATATATATATATATATATATATATATATATATATATATATATATAGTTTATATATATATAGTTTATATATATAAAACAATTTTATATAACAAATCTCTTACCAATTATTGAAGTAATGTTTGCTAGAGAAAATAAAGTAAAGTTGTTAGAAATTGAATGGAATATTTTTTAACTTTAAAATATCCTTGTTTCGAGTTATATCTTTATCATGATGTACTAATAATTTATACACTTGAAAGTATTGAAATCAACAAAACTTACTTATCTGTTTGTCATATTCACCTAAATGCCAATGTTAAAACAAAACATTTATTAGAAGTTTATAATAGTTATGATGTATTAATAAGTATGTTAAAAATATAGAAATCAACAAAACTTACATATCTGCTTGTCCTACTCACCTAAATGTCATATAGAACATATATTATAATAGCATCTATATAATAACTACTAGCTATTGAATACAGAGAGTAACTAACTCATGTTGTCGGGTGTACTACAACTTTGGGCATCTAAAACAGCAACAGAAATATTTAAGTTATACATAAAGGTTTAGATAGTGGCCAGATTATTTAAAAACAGTTTAATAAAGTTATATTGAAACAAAGATATTTCTTATTAAATAAAGACAACGTTCAAACTTTAAATTAGATATGATTCATCACTAATTTGATTCACATCTAATTCTTATTATGAATATATGAAATACTAGGTAAAACCTTTATTTTCTTTCTCCATTTTATTTCGAAATGAAATATAAAATCCAAGTCTTATTTATTATTTACTAAAAATCGTTTTATTAAAACAAATTCTTTTAAATTTACAAATTTTTCAACTATATTTTTACTCTAAAATACCTAGGTTTACTATATCAATTGATGACATAAGTCAAATATTGCTAATATGAATGCTATGTATGTAAATAAAATATAAATAAAAATAATCAATGGACCCCTCTGTTTCCAGCGCCAACATCAGGTTAAAATGTAAATTAGGTAACAAAAGTGCAGCAAGAAATAAGGTAACTGCTACAAAATATTTTTCAATGAAGTTTGGCAGGTGCTTAGATAAATGAATAAATTTAATAAAAAATTGGATAGAAAAAAAAAAGACTATGTCCTGGACATTAAATTCACCACAGAAGTACAACCACAATTTTGACATCAATAAACTCGTTAATAAATTAAGTGAGTATAATTAAAAACCAATCGAACTAATGCTTTAACTATTCTTCTTTCTAAAAATAATCTATGTTGATAACGAATACTAAAAACTTACTCCACAAAGCCTTCCTCAAGCACGCTAACTTTAAAGAGACTACGAAAAACGTCGCATTCCGTAATTCGGTTCCGTGAAACGCGATACTCACGTACCTAGTGTTTGCTATTCAATAACAATATTCAGTAGCTAATTAAGCTTCAGTTTTTTTTTTAGCTTTAAATAACGTGATTACATTTGCATTTTGTTTCACAATTCCTCGAAAGTATCACATAAGACTCCTTTACTATCTTTTATAATTATTTACGTTTTTAATCGTGATAAATTAGGAACTAATAATAGCAACGATAGTATTGCTTAGTTGGTTTTTTTTTAACAAAAATACCATCTTTACTTTTTTCCCTACATCGAATTAATTTTGAAATCAGGCTTCTGAAATGAATTTGGCTAATGTTTAGACTCTAAACATTTAAAATTTAGAAAAAATTATGAAACAATTCTGTTTGTTATATGCATCTGAAAACAGTGGCGGGTTTTTTTTTTTTTTTGGGAGGGGGGGGGGAGGGGGACCATGGGGGTAGTAGCAAATTTTCGTTATCAACCAAACGATGGGCTGTTCTAGAGAAATTTTTCGGATAGGTCTGTTAAATATTTGTCTAAAACCCGATGGAGTGCTCGTGATGAAGCGATGCTCGAGCAGGCTCTGTGAATATCGTAACTACGAAGACATAGAAGATTCTTTGAATAAAATCGCGGAAGATTCAAGTTTTGACTCGAATTCGAAAGCGGAGACACATAATCTGATTGGAAAGATGGACGAATTTGAATTTGCATTACAAACAGTTTTTTGGAACACCGTCCTGAGTCAAATAAACTTAGTTTCAAAATGTCTACAAAATTCAAAAACTACCCTAGACACTTGTTCGAATTTATACTCATCTCTTGGTGATTTTAATGATTATAATGTCATTGAAGCAGAAGCGAAAAAGTTGCTTCCAGACACCAACTACACAATCAAAAGGCAACGAACAAACAAAAGATTTCCAGATGAATCTCAAACACCACAAACCAAATTGACTCCTAAAGAAGCATTTCAAACAAATATATTTGAGAAAAGTTTGAAAATACTCAGTGTAAGTTTAAAGGAACGGGCTAAAGCTTATCAGGATATTTTCGCACTACTTGGATTTTTGACAAATTTAAACATATCACATAAGGATTTAAAAACTAACGTCCAAAAAATTATGGAGCAATATAATTAAGACATCGATGAAGCTTTGTATAATGAACTAATTCATTTACATAATTATATTAAGTTAACCTGCAAAAGTGAAGATTTACCTATAAGTCGTTTAACTTACCTATAAGTCATTATATAAAACTATTAAAGAAAAAAAAATGGAAATTTTGTTTCCAAATTCCGAAACAATTTTAAGAATCTATTTATGTTTGATGCTCACTAACTGTTCTGGAGAACGAAGTTTTTCAAAATTAAGACTTACGAAAAATTATTTAAGATCAACTATGATACAAAATACATTAAATAGTTTTTCATTGCTATCAAGTAATGTAGATTTGATTAAAAAAATGGTTTCGACGAATTGATTGAAGAATTTCCTAAGGAAAAGTGTAGAAAAAAGTTAATGTAAAATTTGAATATAAAACATATTTTCACATACCAAAGTCCTTTTTTTAAATTTGATTGAGTGTTAATATTTGAAGTTGCTTTTAAAAGTACATTCTTGATTATTGAATAAAGGATTAATATATCATTTTAGGGGCCCCAAAATTTGAATCTGCCTAGGGCACCAAATGGGGTAAATCCGGGCCTGGTTTTGTAATCTAGCTCTAGCATACGGTACAATAGACCGGTATCTGGTAGCATACGGTATAATTGATCGGTATCCGATAGCACACACGCTAGCATTGGAGTTTCAGATTGATCTGGTTTGTTACTAGCTAGGACTATTCTCAGAGATTTTCAAATCGTAACAAAAGAAAATTCATCAAGAAGAAAAAATCGAAGTTGAACGAAGTAAAATTAGAAGAGAATGATTAAAAAAAAACAAAAACAACTTCAAGAATTTGCAAAAAATTATTAATTTTGAAGTTAAAGGACTTATTTTTGACGAAAAAAAAAATGATTAGCAAGATAGAAAAGTATTATTATAATGTGTCATCGAGGAACACAATGTTCTAGTTTCAGAACCTGATTCAAAATATCTGTACCATATAACGCCATTATTGGAGACTGCATCAAGTATTCTATCAATTCGAACAGTTTTAGAGGATTATAGTGTTTTGTCACTGTAAAAAGCTTGTGTTATTATAAAACAACCTCAACATGTTGTTTATTGCTGTTTTATACAACTTATTACATTAAAAACATAAATGTGTTTGAAATAAAACGTGTTTCAATTTGTAAAAATGTAACCGTTACTTGGACGTAATAAAATTTTTTTAAGAAATTATTCATATTATTCCCAAGAAAAAAAAAATCTTTCACAAGAACTATAAAAATAAAAAAAAAAATCGATAAAATACAAGTCCCCACTCATATTTGCGCATTGTTCAATTATAAAATAAAACCGGAACGGCTAGAAGTAAAACAAGAGTTCTCCGCATTATTCGAGTTTACAAAAATAATTATATAAACAAATTTTTCGTAACTTACTCTCTTTTTTGTTTACAAAAAGGAATTTAAAATTAAGTTCTGGATTGTATTTGCATAAAAAATACAATCCGAAAAGTAATAACACAACGTCATACAAAATAAATATCCATAGTAAAATGATTATAGTCTAAAACAACCTGGCAACGAGAATTGTGGAGAGAACAATCCTGTGTTTTATCCTGTAATTTATACTGTATACAAAATCATAATGAAGGCAAATAAATAAACATTAATATAATACGACGTCATACAGAATAAATAGTCCATAGTAAAAAGATAATAGTCTAAAACAACCTGGCTTGAATTGTGGAGAGAACTTTCCTGTAATTTATCCTGTATACAAAAATCATAATGAAGGCAAATAAATAAACATGAATATAACCGAAGGCGTTTCTATTGTTCAACATCTTTTCTTATTAACATAAAAAAAAGATGTCGAACAATAAAAAACGCCTTCAGTTATATTAATGTTTATTTATTTGTCATATATTATGAATTTGTATACGGGATAAATTACTCGTTTTTTATAATAGGCAATGTGAAATGTTAAAAATTAATAAGATTTTAAGAACTCTCGCATGTTGTTAATGCTACCCAATAATGGCATTGGTAGCTTTATTGAAGTTTTAAATTTAAAAAATGTTTAATAAAAATAAATAAGTTTATTTAATACTCATTTTATTTTATACATTACTTTTAATTTTTATTTCATATTTTGTTTTAATTAAAACATTGTTCATCTTAACATTATTTTATGACGCACTTCTCAAATAAATAACCCTCTAGTTCGCGGTGAGATCTTTAAGAACTGAAAAAAAAACTTGATTTTTGGAAGATTGGAACCCTAATATTCAAACTTAAAATGTCTTGAACATATTAAAATATACTTTTTTTTTCAAGTTTAAATAAGAGACACACAAAGTTCCAAATTTTCTTTTTTTTTACTGTGTTTGTTTTTTAATGTAATATAAAATACTGTTTGTTTGAACGAAGCGTCAAATCTGTCATGTTGTTTAGACGATATATTATATTTTTCTTTGACATCATTACGCAGAGTCATTTCATCAAAGCTTTTTTCAGGTTGCCTGATTAAAAAATTGTTTAAATCTTTATGATTTTTTAAATTCGTGTTTTCAAATGAATAGTTTCTATCAATAAGAAGATAATTACAGTAAGATTGAAAAAATGATGTTAAATCAATTTTGTTACATAACGAACTTGAATAAATTTGATTTGGCTGACGTTGATTTTGCTGATTATTATTGCATGATTTATTTTGTGCAAACATTACGTGATAAACTAGCGGGAATAAAAGATGTTTAATCCATGAAAAATATAATAAAAGCTCATACAAATTCTGCTCCTTTTGAAAGGTTGTGTCTTCTAAAAATAAAACAACCGATTCCAACAAAAAAATTGGCAAACTACAAACTAAGTATACAACAAGAATACACAAAGCAAATGTTGTAATAGTAGAATACGTTCTTCGTTTATACAGCAACAACGCGTATCCTAATACTTGTTTTGCGATCTTCACTTTTTTGTAAATTACTATTGCAAAAGGTAACTTAAAAAAAAATATAAAAATTACAACAATATAGATCTTAAACGGAATGCTAGGTCTGCAATGTATCACGCTTAACCAATATATATTATATTCAAAAAAAAATCTCGGTAACGATAAAATTAGGCAACCTAACCAGATAAAACATAGATATTGTACTAAGCTTTTGGTCATCTTTTTTAACATATTGTGCTCCAAATTGCAAACCATAAAGGTAATTGTCCACACGCAAACTCCTGTTAGTAAGGTTTGTAAGCAAGAAAATAGTTTTCCATGCGCATTTGTAAAGACAGGATTGTTCACCGGTAATTTAAATATTACGGTTATAGTTATCATATAAACAGAAGACATCAGAGCAACTATGTTTAAGTTAAAAAGAAAGTAGAAGTAGTAGTATCTTTTTCTTGACAATAGTATACGGTTTTTCCATAATCTTCGACTTTGAATAAAGTTTGTAAAAAACACTAAAAATGAAATTGTTGCAACCACAGCTATTCTAGTAATATATTGAAAGTTGACTTGGTTTGAATACACTTTTGTGGTGTAATTTAAATAAAAGTTCCCACTGTTGTTCATTTTTCATACTCTAAAATGTAAAAATAAAAAAGGTTTTTTAATATCTTTAGTTAACTTTTATTTATGATTACAAGTTAATTCTACTATTAGCTACATGTCTACAAGTATACAGATTCTCCACTATGAATTATATATACGTATATTATCACATATATTATATATGTGATAATATACGGTATATCTTTATCTAAATAAACAGAATATCTTTCAAGTAAGTACCAATGCATTGTTATCAATAGAAGAATTTATCGATATCAATAAATTTGAGTTAGATAGTAAGTATTTTTAAAATTAAGACCCAGACTATTTCCCCCACCCTCCCTTATTGAATCACTCATTTTATGACGAAATGTTAATTTTATATTATACTATATTAGAGATATATTATTTATGCTATTTACAATAAAAATCATATTTTCATAATTTTTCCTCAAATATAAAAATGTATATTTTACTCTATTATGTACTTATTACCGTAATGTTATAATTTTTTTTTGTTGTATCTAAAAAAATCATCGAAAATATTGTTTGTACATTGCACCTGTTTGAAAATTGTATTTAAAAACTTTAGCGAGTAAAGTTTAAGGTGTGAAGCTAAAATAGGCTTGAGCTTTCTTTATTAATCAAATAAAAATAAGTATAAATTGCTTAGCTTTTTCTCATTTACGTTTATTTTAAGGATTGCAATACAAATTAGCGCCTATCGGACACGTTTTTGTTCTTCTTTTTTCTTTTTTTTTTTTTTTTAAATTGTTTTGCAAAAACACAAACAACAATAAAAGAATATTAAATAAATCTTGGTAAATAAGTAATAAAATTTAAAATCTTTATAAACGTAAGATGTTCTTTTGAAAAACTTATGATGTTCATCAATATAAAATATTCAAAAACTGCCGGCGACAAAAAAAAAATTGTAAACTTTTTGAAGCACAGTTTTTTATTCCTTAATTTTTTTATACTTTAACTGTGTTTGCAAGATTAGTCTAAAAGCTAAAAGTTTTTTTAAATTGATTTTTTTTTTCTTTTCAACAGAAAAATTAAAGTCCTCAAGTGAAACTCAGGATTCTTAGTCCTCTAGTAAAACTCATTTGTTACAGAAAAAATCATTTTTTTACCACTAAGAGTATTAATTTTAAAGATTTTTTTAAAATTAACTGTTCATTTTTTTTTTTGATAATTCAAGTTTTATTTGATTTCTTAAACTTTAAGTTGGACAAAAACTCATATTGATTAGAATATAGTATTCTTACTGTCATTAGAATAGCTGCTGATCGGAGTAAAGTTGTCATCACTCAAGCTTCACTAGGCTAGCATTAAAATTAGGTCACTGGTCACTCTAAAGTAGAGTATCATGTTTTTTACCTCTACCACCGTTACAAAGTTATTTTTGAACTAAAAAAAATATTTTAACTGATAAAAAGTTATTAACTAGAGAATCAAACTGCCCTTTTCATGATATAACCTTTTGTTTTTTATGACAGCATTGCACCTTTCGTCTCTCGGTTATGTTAGCTACTTTTATAACCCGTCTCTTTTTACCGTCAAACATCATAGGATATTGATCTTCAAGAATATTTTTAGCTCTTAAAGAGTAAAAGATTGTATTTTTTTTGATTTATTTATTTGATTATAAACTAATGTTAACTACGTTGTTTGATTATTATATGATGTTATTAACATTAAACAGCTTTTTTTTTTTTAAATGGAAAATATAATAGATTTTTTTTAACCCTAAATGGCGGTAGATTAGCTGATAATGAAACCTATTTTGTATACCTTCAACCAACATAGAATGTTTTATCTTTGACTAGTACATATTGCGGTTCAATTTTTTGCGAACTAAAAAAGCATAACAGCAACATAACATTATAAAGACTTTTATAACTCACCTAATAAAAGACATATTTTAAGACAACCTTTTGATAGACTTTACCAAAGCATTTGGTAGGGTCCCGCATCATGACTTACTAAATAAACTTGTCAACACAACCAAAATGCTGGTAAACTACTTTAAAGTTTCCTGAATAATAGAACTCAGAGAGTAAAAAATAGAAACTAGGTTACCAATGTTAGTAAGGGTGATAAATAGAAGTGATATTTTTTATAAATAAGAGTGAATTATACTTAATTATACTTAATTATGCTAATATGTACTTATATTTAGCTAATAAGCGTAATTATCAAAATTGGAAATTAACTCTGGTTATTTAACATTGGTTATTAAGTTGATAATCAATTTTGTTAGTATCAGTAACTTGATACTAACTTGATAATCAAGTTAATTATATAGCTAGACTTGTTATACTTGATTTCTGTACCAAAATATAAGTAGTTAGATAATTAATCAATTTTATTTCTTTATTTTAATTTTTGCAAGAAAATTTGTAAGAAAGATATTTATAATCCAGTGAATTTTTCAAGAAGATTTGTAAGAAAGGTATTTATAATCCAGTGAATTTTTCAAGAAGATTTGTAAGAAAGATATTTATAATCCAGTGAATTTTGTTCTCGAATAAAAAACAAGATTAAGTGAAACAGCAAAGTTGAAATATCAAGCTAAAGCAGTTTAAAACATTTGGAAGTATCGAACATTTATATTCACATAACAAAACTGAAAAAGATATTTTTTTAAATATAACGTTAAAAAAATTTTTTTGCAGTAGGTATAATGAAAAATTTCTGCAATTAATAAAAAAAGTATTATTAAGTATAAAAATTAGAAAACTTTTAAAACAATGTTTGAACAATCAAACATTTGAAATTGCGATAAAATTACAAAATAAAAAATTATATTATAACTATACTTAGCCAGGCATTAAGTAGCCAAACATTACTTGCGCTTCCACAAGTTAAATTACTTGCTAAAAACTTTTTTGCTTCATATATTATAGTTTAAGTGCATAAATTAGTGTAGCTTATGGAATAAGGTGGTTATATCATTTGATGTAATCGGTGTAAATCATTATTAGTGTAACTTATAAAATATTCAAAGAAAAAGTAAGTGTAACTTGTGAAAGTATTTGAAACATTGTAACTTATAAAAATAAAACAAGCACTTGAATAAAAAATTAATGTAACTTATGAAAGTATAAATTAAAAAACAGAGGATTTAATCTATTGTATAAATACGTTTAGTCATAAACATTTAAAATGTGACTATTTGCAAATTTTTTTAAAAAAAAAGAGAGATTAAAAAAAAAAGTGGATACCAGAGCAAGTCGCAACTTAACTTTTCAAAAACTATATTTATTTCTTGTTACTTCAATTATTTATTATTTTTTAATTGAAAGAATTTTTTTTTTAATTTTATGCATATTAGTTTTACATTCATAGATAAAATGTAAAACTTTTTTTTTCGTTTAGCTTTTTGTATTTTAAAAAGGTTTTTTATTACTTCCCATTATTTTAGATTGTTCATATACCTCTTTGTTTACTTGGAAAACGCAAGTTTAATTTTTATATATAAAAGAGTAATTATAAATAACATTTGTAATATTTACTTTATTATTGTAAGTTTTTTTATATTATTATGGCAGTTACGCTGAAGCGTGATTGCCATAAGTAATTAATTTAAAATTACTAAAAAATAATAATTAAAAACAGTCCATAGAAAGACACTATTGCAACTTACACTGTTGCAATTATCCCTGGTCTCCCCGCGTGTTTTAATTAAAGTAGAGATATTTGTTGACAAACCAAAATGCATCAATTGATGGGTCTCATTCGGGGTAGGGGCAGAGCTAGAAACTTTTATCAACTACTTTTATACTTTTTTTAAATATTAAACTTTATATATGAACAAAAATATCTTAAATATGTTAAAGTTATATATATAAAGTTATATATATATGTATTAATTAAATAAAAATAATTTAAAGTAGTTATATGGTAAAAATTTTGAGTTTAATTTAAAAGCTATCTTTGTATAAAATTATTTGGCTTTTCAACCATATATTGCATAATATGGTTTTAATAACAAAAAATAGCTTTTAAATGTTTTTATTTGAATATATTTATATTTTACCAGGTTTATATTTTACCAGGTTTTTGCATCGATAATATCCTTTAAAATTATAAGAGCTGCGATTTTAAAAATTGTTGTTATTTTCAGTTTTTCTAGTAAGGTTTTGTTTATTACACTATAATCTATCAGTATAGTAAGTTTTAGCTTGTAGTATCATAAAAAAGCTGAGAAAATGTAGTTTTCTTTTTTATTGATTTTTGTTTTGTATTTAATGCTGAATCAACATAAAAAAGGTAAATAAAATTTAAATAAAATTTGGTATTATTTAGCCTTAAAACTAATTTTGATATCTATAAAAAGTTAGAAATTATTATATAAAAAAAATTATTTTTACCATATAACCAGTGGGCACGGGACGTAAAAAAGACGTCTTTAAAACGTTTAGGAATTTTTTTGAATGTTCAAAAGACGTCTTTTTTAGGTCTTGTGCCCACTGGGTAACCACCTTAAATGAAACCTTAAACTTAGATTATGAATTTCAATAAAATTATTTTTTTATTTTTTTTAATATTAAAAAAAAAGCAAAATAATATATAGATTTAAAATAGTGTGAAATTTTTTGTTTTTTCTTGTATTATTTTGTAAAAATACATTCTCCTATTATCCAGTAAGCTAATATATGAATCATTGAAAAGAAAAAGAATAAAAAATCAAGAAGGTTAAAGTAAGGAAAACATAGAAGATTAGAAAACTGAAAATAAAGAAAAGAATAGAGAGCATAATTGAAGTTTAAAGAAAAACAAGAAAGATTAAAGAACAGAAAACGAGGTTGAAAACGAGGTTGTAAAACTGAAATCGAACAAAATTTATTATTTAAATAACTAAAGTAATATTTCTAAAAAAAACTAATAAATAAAAATATATAAAACATAAACAATGTTTACAAAAGTAAATGTTGTTTACTTGTGACTTCGTTTTTATTACTGTTTGACTTATTCATTAAAAACAACAATACTTTATAAGTCCGAGTACCATAAATGTACCGT